AGCCCAGTGGCAGAGCGGCACGACCCCAGCCGGCCGTACGCTGAGCAGTACCGCATCGATGCCCAGCAGTTCGCCAACCTGTACAGGCTGGTGTCGCCCTGGACCTGCGGGGAGCACACTGACGTCCTCGCCCAAAGGACCTTCCGGCTCCTGGATGAGAACATGGACCGGCTCATCGAATTCAAGGGGCTCGCCAGCTGCTTAGGTATCAGCTCACCTGCAGGGTGGAAGGTGGGCAGAGAAGGGGATGGCATGTGTGAGAGATGTGAATGTTAAAATGCTGTATGACTGGCAGGGGAGGATTTTTTTTAGGGTTTGTCATTATCCTAATCAGTGACCTTTACTGATTTTTTTGTGTTCCAATCACCCAAAGTCAATTTGATTTAAAAGACAGTCTAAGGAGATGACTGAATCTTGTATTAAAAAATTGATAGACAATAATTTTGTTTAAAATCTTGTATGAATTAAAATTATACTTGAGTCTGTATGAAATGCTAGGAAATCCTCTCTACTCGATGGCTGCTGTCAGTATATCTTTGAAATCTCAGTATATCTCTTTGTAACCACTTGTTAAAGACTTAAACACTGCTGCTTGCCTTACATGTTGACTTCAAGCAGAACATAAAAAAATCTGGCCCGCAGGGACTGAGGGCTTGCTCTTGGGTTGGTCTTGAGGCCACCAGCTGTCCTAATGAGATAAGGCTGCCTGTCCCAAAATCTGGCTGAAGAGAAAGTGCCATATCTGAACTGTTGCCTGATCTCAAGTGGGAAAAACTGGATCAACATTCAAAGCTTCAGTAAAAATCCCCACATTTTTGTTCTTGCCACTTAAGATTTTTAGAATTTTTTTATGTGAACCTTACGGCACTCTGTATTATATTGTTATTTGATTTTGATTCTTAGATGGATACAACTTTAAATTAAAAAAGTTCTTCACAGTATTTCAGTGCATTTGAAAGTTTAGAATCTTATTTTTAGTGGTCATTGAAAGTGTGAATTATATTACACGTTAAATAGGTATCTTCTGTGGGCTTACTCTGTAGAACAGCAGTAAGAGCTGAAGGGGAGAAATACTAAGAATATCATGTCGCCAGAGTTTTCTGTCTCTCCCCTCTCACATTCCTGTTAATCTGTGGTAGCAAACAGCCTTTGCTAGATTCCCTGCCATCCTCCATGATATTTTTAAACAATGCTGAAGCTCCATAGGCTTAGGTACTCCCAATCTACTTTACAAGAACAAAGACCAAACAGATGGCTGTCACCTGCTGTTCCTCATTGACAGGCACAACTTAAAGTAATATAATACACTGGCCATATGTTTATTGTCCATGTAAACAATTATCCTTTGTGCACAGAGAGATGCCTGATTTATTTTAAACTGTGGAAGTGCGTGCTCTGGTTCACTTCCTTCTTGTTCTTTTTTTGCCTTGCAGATATTATGTATAATGGAGAAATGAATGAAAAGATAAAGTTACTATATAAGCTGCATATTCCACCGGGTAAGAAATCTGAAAGGGAATGAATACCTCTGTTTCCAAAAAAAAAATCTCTTGCTTTTGGGAGAAAGCTGCTTTATGAGAATCTTAATCTTGCCTCCTTCCAACTGGGAGCATATAGGATGTACATTCATAGTTACGCTCACCACATTTTACAAATTACTCCAGTCAAACCTTTTTTGGATGAAATTTATAGATTACAATGTCAAAGCTCACACATCTGCTGCATTCAGAGATCTTTTGCAACCAATTACATGGTTACTTCCAGACAAAATATGAACTGAAATAACATTTTTGAATGGCTTGTACTCCATGTACAGTAGAGATCTCCTTATCATATCTTGATCCAGTTTTGATCAGGTGACAAAATTCTGTGGTAGTTCCTCTGTTCAGAGATTTTAATTAAATGTGCCATTCTTGGCAAACTTCCAACTGCAGAATAAGTCTTACTTACAGTAACATAATTTTAAATACTTAGAAGTATTTAAAAACTTATTTGCCCCATTATTTTGCTTTCTTCAAATATGTAAGTTCTAGAAACATAAATAACCATTATACAGAATTCAAAGGATTACATTTGTCACTTTTTTTTGGATAGCTCTCACAGAAAATGAGCGAGACAGCCAGTCACCATTAAAGAATCCTTTGCTGTCAACATCAAGACCACTAGTGATTGGAAAATCAAATGGTATGTCCAAAATGGTTCTCTAATGAGTGTGCATATGAGATAACACACTTGTGATCCCTACCATGTTATCTCTGCTCTCTGGGGTTTATTTTGAAATGTAAATTTACTCCAGTGACTTGAAAATTAATTCTCCTTTTTATGTCTACTCCAAAAAAAGGTGATGCAGTAGATTACCAAAAGCAGTTGAAGCAGATGCTGAAGGATCTAGCCAAAGAAAAAGATACTAAAACTGAAAAAGAATTGCCAAAAATGAGCCAGGTATGTACCTTAGAGATTGTAATCTGTTTTTAAGTAAGTGTACTTAAAATGCAATGACTGAATACAACAGTTTGCCTCCTTCTGAGAAAGTGTGACTTCAGCCTGTACTTAGATTCAGTCCTTCATGCATCAAGGATTGGGGTCCTCTGATCCATGAAGCATGTGTTTAAAAACTCTCCGCTACCTTTTTAGCAGCTCCCTCTACTCAGACTGTCTGGTGAATAGAATTTCAGATTTACACTCACCTGCAGCAGAACAGGCAAGCAAACAGGCTTGTGCAGGCAGGATAAAGCCCTCCTCCTAAACCCAAGAATTCCCGAGAATGCATATTGCTGTTCTGTCTTCCCATACCTCCTCTGCACCAAACCAGTGACTTAGTCCACCACCAACTGGGACTTGCCCTGTCATAGCCAAACACTGACTAAAACTGCATGAAGTAAAACAGCTGAAGGCTGTTGTCATCTTACTATCTCCTCCCTAATGCCAGTAGCTTTTTATTAAGTTGCTGGCATAAGGAAATCTACTGGAGGGAAAAGGGTCCCATATTAGTAAAACAAACTGGTACATAAAGTTTTAAATGGGTGGCATGTATCTCACCTGTCAGCTCAGCAGGGACACATGAGCTCTCCTAAAGGCATCACACTGAGGATATGGAAACATCCTCTCTAGTCTGATAATCACCTGTGATGGGCAAGTGAGGGAGGGAAAGAGGCTGGGAAGATGTCTGAATTTTACTGGCAGAAGAAAAAGATCTGGGGAAAGATGGGAGAGAAACAGAAGGGAGGTGGCTTGCAGGCCTGTGGATGACTTTGGTTATAACTCATTCTGTGTTAACAGCCACCAGTAAGGGACTATCCCTTGCCTTATATCTCACTTGCCCTCTGACCACCTGGCAGGTCCAGATCTCCTTCATCAAGGCATCAAAATACTTCACTGCTCTGTTCCCTCTTTGATTTCAGCACGAGGATTCCTAGCACCAGTGGGGGTTGAAATCCCTTCACTAGCATTTTTTTAAAGCAGGCAGAAGCTATAAATGAGCATATAAATGTACACAGCATTCTGCCTGCCTCTGCAGTACCGTGCCCTCGTACTTCTGCACTGATCCCATAACATGGCTGTTCAGTACTTTGATGTTGGTTTTTCATCCTTTACAGAGAGAGTTCATTCAGTTCTGCAAAACATTGTACAGCATGTTTCATGAAGATCCAGAGGAGAATGATTTGTATCAAGCCATTGCCACTGTGACCACACTGTTACTTCAGATTGGAGAAGTAGGACAAAGAAGCATCAGCCTGGGGAGTGGATCAGATGAGTTCACTGAGGACTTACAGCCCGAGGCCTCTGCTTCAGACCAGGATGCTGTTTTTACTGACACTGTGAAGACCCCTCACAAAGACTCTCAACCTTCTCCTGTGACTGAAGGGGACTGGACTGTCTCTTTTGAACATATTTTAGCATCCCTCCTGACTGAACAATCATTAGTTAACTTCTTTGAAAAACCCTTAGAACTGAAACCAAAACTTGAGAATGCAAAGCTAAATCAATATAGTCTCAAAACAAATGGAGTGAGCTGCTCACCACGGAGTGAACATACAAAACCAAACATGCAGTAGCAGCAAACATGTAAAAATTGAAATGCACTGAAATTATGCCAAAGCACATACTGTACAAGGCTTTCAGTTAGCAGTGGACTTCTGATAATTAATTTGTTGGTCTGTGGTTTTCAGTTTAAGAGCTTTAAAAGCTAAAGGGTGTGTAGGTTTGTTTTGTGCCATTGATTTATTATGTTCTTGTTTTGAATGTAAAAGGAAACATCTGTCTACAGTGTGAAGACACTGAAGCCCTCTTCCGCGCTGGGAGACCAGAGGCTGGCTCCAGTTGTCTTTTTTTTTTTTTTTTTTTTTAAAACAGGGGAAAACACTTCTCATCTGCTGTCTGCAGTTTGGGTTGCCTTTTTTTGCACTAATACTGAAACCTGTTTCAATGCTGGTAATTGAAACTATTTTAATATATTTGATTGTATTCCAATTTGTATGTCTTGCTCAAATGTTAAATGTACATGGACTGTGCTTTCTGATGTTTGTCTGTAAAAACATGCACTTTTCAATAAACCCTTTTTGTACAAGACTGGCATTGACAGTATTTACTGATTTATGGAAGGTAAGTACTTTTAATCCTTACTTCATTACACAGATTCCCTGAGCTAGCATGATCACAGTTACTTCACTAGTCAGAAAGCTGTTTCCATGTAGCATACAGAGCTGCTTTGGGAGAAGCCTACTGAGTCTGCCTACGAGGCCAACAGGGGACTAAATACAGGGAACTTATGTCATCCACAAGAGATTACATGTATGAAATATATAAACCATCAGTTTTGGTTGGGTTTTCCTTGTTTTGTGTTTTTTCAACAAACTTGGCCTTAACTTAAAATACCTGTGTAGTGTCTCTTTACTGCCCCAGGAACAGAACAAAAGCACTGGGACTTTGCCATCCACAAAGAACATTAACATCTTCTCCTTATTCCATTCACATGTAACAGAAGTCTACAGTATCTTTAATTAAGCAAATTGCACCATTATGTACAAGACTAAAGAAAACAAGATACTTTAAGATGTTGGTACCTGTTCAACTCAATGTTTCACAGCTGAGAGCTTGAAGAGACTGGACAATAAAAACAACAACTTAGGAATAAACTTTCTTTTTATCCTTTTATTTGTAATGAAAATCAGATTAATTTTCATCCACATTGACTGTCTGTAGACCTGCAAAACAAGAAATTGTATCACCATCTGTTACTAAGACAGTTCCCTTAAAGTATATGGAAGTCTTCACAAGAAAATGTGAAGCTGTTTCAAAGCTAGTTAGTTTATCTACTTCTGGAAGAGCAAACTATATAGGCAAGTATGATACAACATGAAGTTGGCTTTTTTTATATGCAGAATTGATTTTTCTCAGATGACAAGCAGAAAGGGCTCAACCTGCCTGAGCTTTTGACATCAGAGGATGGGCTTTATATGGGAAAACAAACCTTAAAACTACCCTAACAACTATGGCCAGTGTTTCTTGATCTTTCAAAATTTACAGGACTATTTCACAAAATTCTGTATTCATTTTAATGCAGATCAGGGAAGCTAGCAGCCCTGGTTTCTACAGCAGATATAGTTTAAGCAAGCATTTTGGCCCTTCAGCATGCTTTTCATCTGAATTTTGTACTGCAGGAGGAGCTGTCCTGCTTTGCTACTTGTGCAGAGAAACATGGCGTGAGAGATGGCATGGAACCTTCCTCACCTTTGAATGTTGTCACTGGTACATAGGTAACCAGTGTGTACAGTTTGTTTGGTGAATCTTCATCCTCATTGCGCTTTCTGGACAAACGTACACGGATACGGTAAGGAACATTCCTAAAATGAAGATGGCAGATTAATTTTTAGTAAACTATGTCCTGAAACCTGTGAATTCATTGAAAAGTTCTTTGTTCCATAATTACTCCCCCCCAAATTCTTAAGCTCTGCCTATTTGTGCAAAGACATGCACCCTCATAGTAAGAGAAAAATCCTATACCTTTAAGAGATTGTACTTTTTGCCTTAGAAGAGATTTTTAGGGGGTTTTTTTGTTTAGTTTTAATAAAGTGAGGAAGTAAGATTGAAGTGAGCCTTGAATAAGATGAATCCATAATCCAGTAGGTGCATTAAGTCAGAAGTGCATCATCTGTCCACTACTGATCCAGGAAATTGTCACTTCATCATCAGCTGCAAAGGTGATCATGAAGTGAATATGATCATCATGAATGTGAACATGAACACCATGAACATGATCAGCAAGCAGCTGTTACTAACAAGCATTTCTTACTACAATAGAAAATGGTGAGGAAAAACCCACCAATCTGCTGTGAAAGCCCAAGGCCCCTGTCCAGAGTTAAAAGTACTGCCCAATCTGTATGCCAGAAGTCATGTGGAAATTCTAGTGAGCGTCTAATCTGAACAAAGATCTTACTTGGAGGCACACAACTGATCAACGCTGCTTCCTCACTAAGCCCCTGGAATCACAACTAAATTACACAGATGACTTTGTTTGTAACAGGGAAGTCACAGTGTAGCAGTACACAGTAATCAAGACACAGGAACTTGCTTTGCTTTGCTCCCTTCCTGATACAAGTCAAAAGCATTTTTCATACTCTATGTAAGTCACTCACTATCATAGGAGCTGACATGGGTGATTTTAGCCACTCCTGATCCTTCCAGAGGATGATATTTTACTTTGCCTACATTATGTATTCTAACCAGTAAAAACTGCAAGCTCAAACTGGAAAGACAGATATGGTGACTTCTTGCTCCACAGACCACACTGCTACCAGTTAATATAAGGAAGTCTTGGTTAGTAGCCTCACTACTCTGAAGTTATGCTGTTTCCTGCTTCCACTGCTACTTACTTCTTCATTGGTATGAACTGTAAAGTTTAACAGGAAAGACAGAAAACCCCTGTCCACAAGACCCAATAACTTAGTCCCACTCTGCTTTTGAAGGAAGGGTTGGCCACACAATACCAGGTAAACTACTGTAAATATGACTCAGGAATCCAACTCACAAAAGACACAGTTTAAAACTGTGTGTATCCAGTGCATCACTCAAAACATCAATCCCAATTAACCTTTTATTATGGTTTAAGAAGTTCCACTCCTCAAAGCAGTTCTTTTGGACCATCTTTACACATGTCAAATGCCAAATCAGCTGCCTCTGTAGCAGTGATTTAATGGAAGCTGTAGTTTTTGACCCTCAAACTACTTACCGTTTGTCCTTTGAAGAAAAGATTAATGCCCTATTTAAAACACACCTACTTACCACCTCACATAGCATTTATCATTTCAGCAGGCTTCAAAATCTAATCCTGTTCAGACATACTACACAAATCCCAGGCACCTATCTTGGGACTAAAGGTATCACTAAAAGGCCATAAAAAGTGTCTGCTGTGATAGGGGTCAGGGTACTTCAGTATTACAATACCCCAATCCTTTCTCTTCCCCCACCCTCCACCCCTAAACCCACATTCCTTTTTTTCTTCACTTTATTCTTATTAGAGGTAGAAGGAAGCTCTTTCAGTCCCAGAGTTTGCCAAAGCTTCGCTACAAATATGCTGGGAGAACTGACCAGAATACAGAGTTGACAGAAAGATTACCTTGGCACGTATGCTGTAAGAAAAAACACATCTGCATAGAAAATGCAAACACTGCAAGAAGCATACAAATGTTTCTACCCCTCCAAGTCCTTCCACACCCAGTAAGGAAAGCTGCAGAAACCCACCTTATTCCTTTAGCCCAGACTGCTTTGTTCAATCTGGTGTCAATGCGGACGTCGGGAGTACCCATCTCTTTCATCGCAAACTTACGGATCTCCTTGAGAGCGCGTGGTGCCCGTTTCTTGAAGCCCCTAGGACAAACACAAGAGCCATTTCAGGACACTGTCAGCACTCAATGTTGCATGCTGCAGCATTCGCTGGTGTTCTCTAAACATACAACCTAAAGAATTGTGTTCAACAGCAGACAAACAGCTGCATCACAGCATGACTACATTTTTACCCTGGTAGGCAGCTACTAACCTTGTGCCTAACAGAAACCTCATATACTTAGGGAGAATAATTTCAGTAAAACTATGCAACCCCAATAACTCCTGAATCTTAAGCCTTCAGTTATGTCAGTGTGTTGGAAGATCACATTACTGGAGAGATCAGAGGTTTCAGACACTGAATAGAAGGCCTATGAGAAAAGCAATGCAACAATAGTAACACAAACTTGACAGAACTGTAACAGTATTAAAATAAACTGCTGAAGAATAAAACTGACATTATTCTGAATAACAGCTTCTCCTACACAGTACTTACTTTCTCTCATGCTAGCAGGATGGCACCAGTACCACCATCAGAACTGGGGTTTTTTACCAGTATAGCTTGTCTCATGCCCATTATGGATAGATCCTGCAGGACTGGGCATTCACAACACAAGCTAGAGCTGCACTGTGTGTGTTTAGCCATATATGTTATACTCACACTGTGACATGGAGCTGTATCAGTAGTGCCTGAGGTCCCACAGTGGGTTATATTTAGTATTATTTGCACATCGCTGTTGATATTTAGTGTTAGAAATGGGAAGTGGGTGCATGATTACAATTGAGACAAGCATTAAACAAAAAGCACTGCAGCCCTAGCACATACCATGCACAAAAAGTGGATAACACAAAAAGAAAAGTGGATAGCAGGATAATCTGCCTTAAAACAGACTGAACTGCTAATCAACAGGCAAGGCCAGAACATCCTACTGCCAATTAAAGAATACCACTGCCTCCCCTTCTCACCCATGGTTTTACAATATTTCACTGCCTCATTTCTCTCCAAGTTAACTTCAGCCATTTCCCCAATCATTTTGATTCAGCTTGTGTCTTCTACATGACTGCAGCCATACACAGAATGCAAGGGTGATGCAGTCTCCTCTCAAATACTTCACTACTACACGGTTTTACGAGGTTCAGCATTTTACCAGGTAAAATTCCATCTACACACAACAAATACCCTTTTAACTCAAATCATACCCGAATTTACACCTCACATGACTTCACGACAAGCACAAAGACAATAATGTGACTACAGCAATATATAATTTCTAAAACTTAATCAGTGGGCTAAACTTTAAACATTTGCCTGGAAAAGAATGACAACCTGTGCACAGAAGTAAACAGATCTAACTTCAAATTCAAGTCCTGGAACACTCACCAGCAAAGACAGCCACATACAAAGTGTGGCGCTGCACAGGCACAGAGCTCCTTCCTCGGGACACAACCGAGGCACAAGAGACCGCAAACAGCATGCAATAAGGACAGTCCTCCTCTGCCCTTTAAAACCTATCCCACTTAACATAAGGGATAACAACTTACACGCCATGGATCCGCTTGTGAATGTTGATGGTGTATTCCCTCGTTACCACCTCGTTGATGGCAGAGCGCCCCTTTTTCTTCTCGCCGCCTTTCTTTGCAGGAGCCATCTGAGCAACGCTGAAAAACATCCGTACACGCGTCAAACCAACTTCCCTCGGGACTTTTCCCGTCCCCTTCCCTCCCGTCCTCCCCAGACCCTTACAAACCACACAACTCCCACATTCGGAACTTTAAACCTAAACCTAATTAACCCCCGGGTCGCACCAGTCGCAGGCTACACGCAGCAGCTTTCCAGTATCACAAGTGCTTTACTTCTGTCTGCCTGAGAGGCGCAGGAAGCACACCCGATACTATGACCACCTCACATGAGGAGCGGGCTCCCGGCCAGCCCCAAGCGCTCCTGCGATGGCCCCGTCCTGATTCTGCGTGTCCAAACCCCTCCTTCCTCAAGGCGACCCGGCAGGGCAGCTCAGCCCGGCCCGGGATGAACATGACGATGCCTAAGCGGCTCCTTCCAGGGACTGACAGCACGGGCCGTATCCACCTCCCATCTGTCCCGCAGGCCTCCCCGGGCCTGAGATACGGGGGGGGAGGGCAGGAGATGGGCCCCATTCCCGCCGAACGGGGGCCCGCCGGGAGCTCCCAGCCGGTGCCCCTCGCGCCGGGCCGCCCCCCGAGCCGAGACGGGCCGGGGACCCCCCGCGCCGCGGGGTCTGCGGGGAGGATGGAGGCGGATTCGGCGGGACGGGCCCCCACCAACACTCACCCTGCCCGGGCACAGGCCGGAAAGGAGCGCGCGAGGCACTCCGGGAAACAGGAGCCCTTCCGGGACGAGGGTGGGAACAGACTGCGCCGGCGCCGGGAGCGGCTCAGCGGGGCGGGGCTGGTCTGAGGGGGTCGAGGCTGCCTGTGCCGGTGCTGGGGGTGTTCGGTGGGGTCAGTGTCTGTGTGTGTCCGTAGCGGGGATGTTCAGTCTGTGTGCCGGTACCGGCGGTGTTTGGTGCCCGCGCCCTCTTTAGCCTCTCTCATGTGAGCTGCGTGGTGGGCTCAGCTTGGCGCAGTTGTGCTTCTAACAAACGTTTTTCCCCTTTCAGACCTGTAGCTCCTGTTCCCGAGACAGAAGCGAGGCATCCCGGCATGGGGCAGTGGCCTGCTGTAAGCACCCCGCCTGGCCACCTGCCCGGAAAACCGGCCCAAACTGAGGGATTATATTGGAACAAGCTAGATCTCGGCTGTAATGAACTAGAACAACAGCCCAGCTCTGTGAAGAGAACTAGCATTGCCTTGTGTGTGCAACAGGGAACAAGTACAGTAATCCCAAACCAGAATGTGTGTACAGGGAAGAAATGAGACAGAGCATAAAAAACTGGGTCTTGACATAAATCTGCTCTTGCAACCACTTTGTATCCTTCCAAACAGTGTAAGAAGCCAACCTAAAAGAAGGCAACCCAACACTATTTGCAGCTTTTCTCTGTTAACAGCTTACAGCGCTGCTAGTTTTAGAAAAGATAAAGATAAGTGCTCCAAGGCTGAGCATGGTTTGGACATGCCACTGGCAGTTGGGAGAAAGAGATGTGGGTGTATTATCTCTGAGAGTAAAACAAAGGAATTTTCCCTTTCTGGGACTTCTGTCACAGTGGTTGAGATCCATCAACTGCTGCTTCCACATGTTTTTCTTACGAGGTACTCATGTTCCTTTGTTACCTCTTCCTGCCTGAACTTAGAGATATCTCCTCCCCTTTCCCAGGATAAGGCCTTACAGGAGTGGCTGGAATTTATAAAGTTAGCCTCCAACTTAGCCAACTGGGCTTCACTTAGGTTTGTCTACAGTTTATGGAAAGAGGGAGGTTCCTTCAGACATTAAGTGAAACCTCCGGATTTAGCTTTCTAATCTTCATCTGGTGGGGTCACTCTTGCTTCACTGAACACAAGAATTTAAAGAGATGAGTCGGCTAACTCACACAGGTACCTAAAGATGGCAGTAAAAACACTTTCTTACAGACCAGATCTATTAGCTAAACACTTCCTAGAGACTAGACTTGATTCCCTTATCTTCTTTCAGTGAAATAAACCAGCAGAGTTGTATGGACTGAAATACATATGCACTGATCAGTGCTACCACCCAGTTTTGCTGTCAAAGCAACAAGGTCGTTTTGCCAGTGGGTTTTCTTCAGGAGATTTTTAACTTTTTCAGAACTCAGGGCAAATTAACTTTTTCATTTCTTGAAAAGTTTTCTTTCACTATTTCCAGCTGCCAGTCCAATTACCTCCATTGTTCCTCTGTGGCACAGAAACCAGAACACGCTGGTCTCCGGTGATGTGATCCCTGGTACTGAAGGGTGGGAAGGGCATGACTGCACTCTCTTGAAGCTAATGCTGGCTCCAGTGGCTGCAAGCTGCCCTGAGGGCCATCCCCTTTCAGTCCTGCTGTGGCGAATGAAGACATTACTATGCTCAGTTATCCACCTCAGTCTGTGTTGGAGGCTGCTGCTCCTGCAGCAGAGTCAGCAGAGGGAAAGCAGACCTGTACCCTATCTGCTCCATCCTGTAGTCAATTTGAATTTAACATTAAAAAGAGTCTGCACAAGGATGCTAAAGTGGAAACCAGACTGTCTACAGCGTGAGCATTCCAGAAGAGATGCGTCACAAAACTCAGGACAGCAATATCTTAAAACACTAAAGCTGGACATGATTCAAAGCCCTTGTGTGTGCTGGGTCAAACTGTTCTTTAAACCATCCATTTTGTCCTAATATAAAACTGTTTGGTTGGAAGTACAGAGCTGCCTGAGGTCTTTAAAGTTTTAAAATGAACTTAAAATGAACTGTCTTCGCTAGCAGCTAATATAACTTCCTGAGCTATCATTCTCAGAGTCTATGCCATGACAAAAATCCCATAGGATAATACTTGTTTTTGCTAACCATGTGCCAAACACCATGCAAGGCTATGGCTAAGATAAAAAGTCTAAAGTGAATCACATAGTTGAACAGTCACAGGAAAATGTGTGCAAGTTCTGCAATAAAGCCTTTTGGCTATTTTATTTTATTCTACAAATAAAGACAACTGTCCATCATTAAATGGAAAAAAAATAATAGTTTGTGTTGTATATAGCATGAAACAGCAGTTCCCTTCACAAAAACATTTCTAATTAATTAGTTTATTACAAAATACCCACTCACAAAAAAGCACAAGCACAATCTTTATACTTGTGAAATGAGTTGATATTTCATATACAAAATAATTTCCACATAATTCCATATAATTTTATTTTATATAGAAATAGGTCATTATTACAACAGCTGTACAATACACTACTTTTTATTTAATAATTACATAAAATCTTTCTTAGAAACATATCAACGGAAAACATACAAAAAAAGCGAAAAGTGCATTTCTTTTTTTTTTTCCTCCAAAGGAAAATTTAATCCTAAATGTTACAATGAAAGAGATATGTAATAGTCTGCAGCATCCCGAGTCACTGGGCCAAAACACAGTGCATATTTCTCAGAGACTTGGAGTGGGCAAGTTAGGTTGAAGAAGGATTCACGTTGTACTACTGGAGAGTTGCATGATTGTGCTTACAATTTGAGTTCTCTTTTGCAATCACAATTCATGTAGGAAACAGTCCAGAGTGGGTTGTGGGTTTGTTTTTTTGGTTGGTTGTTTCATAATGAAGTTAGGGTAAGCTGCATAATACTTTTCAGATTCTAAATCAAGGGTTATGAGCTGTAGACCATCTTCACCAATGGCTGGGCTTTCTCCTCCATTGGATGTGCTAGTTTGGCCACAAGAATGAAGAAACAAACTTCTCTTTACAGAAAGTGCCTAGGTTTTGTCCTCTGTGCAGTTGTGCAAAATAATAACAATAATCATAATAAAAATAATCTCTTGTTCTCTCCTCAATAGACCTTTGACGCAGTGCTTTTCATACACAAAAGAAGAACTGAAACAGTGAAGGCCAAATACCTCATGAGTCTGCCAACAGTCTTTTGGAATTGCCAGATAGCTTTCGGAACGACATGCTGAGATTGAACGCCTTCTCCCGTGCACTCACTGGTGATAGAGGCTGCACAGGGTAGTGTTCCTCTTTGTTTTGCTCTGTCAGTACATACTGTGCTCACGAGATAGCGCAAACTGAATCCAGCGTGCTGTAAATGCGCTGTCGGTTGCAGTCTGCACTCTGTGGCGTACTTCTGTCATAGAGCTTTGAAAGAAATGCTTGTGCAAAAGCCAGAACAGTAAGTACAAAGTCATTCTCTTCTGCCCCATGTGCCCATTGGTTAAAGCTAATCGTGCATTGATTGTGCTGGTGGGACTCTATCGCAGTGGCTGTGGTAAATTTGATGATTCTGATAAGCTATTCCTTCTTCTTGATGTTAGTTGTTGCTGTTGCTGCTGCTGCTGCTGTGTCTGATGATACCCCATATTTCCTTGCTGTGGTGAGTAAGATGGCAGGAGCAAAGAATCGGGTTGTTCATTGTGCAAAGAACTTGGTGTTTGCACCTACAGATAAAACAAAATTTATTGTGGTGTTCGATTCTTTCCCATGTTTAAAGATCTTCATCCTCAATGTACAGGATGCTTAAAAATACTACTAGGGTGTTGGCTTTAATTTCTGGAGCTGTTTGGCATGAGGTTAGCTTAACTAATGCTAGAAGGAATGGACACAGATTGCAACAAACAACATTCCAATTAGGCACTGAGAAAGGTTTTCTCTTAAGATTGCACTGCCTGAGATTTGCAGGTTATTCTGAAAAGCCTGTTTAGGAGTAGGGTGGGCAAACATGTCAGAAACGACACAGATGGATGACAGAAATGAAACAAAAATGAAACAGGGATCCCAATGTGCTTCATGCTGTCCCTTCTAGCCCTTCCTTTTTGTGAGTTTACAGTAGGGTGTGACCTTGCAGTGGTAAAGTCAATGTGTATTTTGCAGATGCTTTTACTGGAAACAGTATCTGTCAAACTTTTTTTCATTAATTCTCAGCTATGATAAGGATTTAATTTCAATAACAAGAGCTTAATCATTTGAGGTTGGTGATACTCTTTCAGTGATGCCAGTGGATACATGACCAGGTTTTATAGACTCAGTTCAGCGCCTGTTGAGCTAACAAACAGACACCTCCTTTCCCCCCTTCCCCTCTACTGTAGTATGTGTTGAATTGGGTCAAAAAAATAAATATTTTTACATCTTCAAATCACCTGGTTCTTCCAGGCAATGGCTCCACTTTATCTTCTTTGCCTTGTGGAGCTGAGAAAATATGTTAATTTACTGAAGGGATCAAGATATCTGATCCAGATCTCATTTTATGTTGATGCTAGTAATTAAAAATCATCTTTTGACTTGTAAAATAAGCAAATTTTATACTGAATAAAGAGTACAGAATAAATCCTAAGGCAGCAATTTTCTCCAGCTAGAAATAAACATTAAATATATCCAGGATAATCTGATTATGCTTCCAATGTACAGAATTAGTAATTTCCTTTTAAATATTCTGACTGTTCTCACTGCTCCCTTGCTATACTGCTACATGACACTGTATCAGTGTCTCATATATGTTGCTATCTCTAAAATGGACATTTCTGCCAGGATCACACTCCAGTAGACACATGGAGCTTCGTTTGCACAGCCCATTCACCTTATTACTCTGCATGTACATTTTATACATCACCCTCATTGTCCTACCTGCAGGTAGCGTTGTTGCTGATGCTGTTGGTGCTGGAGTTGCATAGGTGGCAGAGAAGATGGCTGAGAAGGAGGTGTAGTGGTGAACCCTTGGTTTAACACTGCTTGTCCCATCAGTATGATTGGAGAGCTGCTGCTGGAAGTCTGCACTTCCAAACTTTGAAACATTTGTTGGGTTTGAGAATACCTACCAATCAAGAACAAACTGTTGGAAGCAAAGGTGTTCTCTTAGGATAGGGATGGCAGTCCCTAGTCTTAATAATTCATTGAATCACAGAATGGTTTGGGTTGGAAGGAAACCTATAGATCATCTAGTGCGAAGCTCCCACGCCATGGACAGGGACACTTTCCACCGGACCAGGTTGCTCAAAGCCCCATCCAACCTAGCCTTGAACACTTCCAGGGACAGGGTATCCACAGCCTCTCTGGGCAACCTTTTCCAGTGCCTCTCATGCTCACAGTAGGAATTTCTTCATAATATATGATCTAAATCAACTCTCAGTTTAAACCCATTACCTCTTGACCTATCACTACGTACACTCGTAAAAAGTTCCTCCCCAGCTCTCTTGTAGCCCATTTTAGGTACTGGAAGGCTGCTGTCAGGTCTACCCTGACCTTCTCTTCTCCAGGTTGAAAAACCCCAAATAATTCCCAATAAAGGATTCTCATGCATGGGACCTGCTAATATGAATGACAGCGCCATTGGCAGCACTGTTTTTCCTTACTGTGTGCATGAGCTGGGCTTGGAGGGAAGAATGTATCTCACCTCAAAATCCAGATCACATTTTTAGGTTCATTAAAGATTCTGGTTTATGTATGTCTTCTCTTCAGCCACAGCATTCACATTCCAAGCTCATTAAACCAAATGGCCTTTGATTCTGTTTTAATATGCTGAGCTCTGAACTGCAGCAAGAGAGAAGTAAATGCACCTCCTGTCCTGCTGCCTGTGCTCCCCTGTGACTGCCTGTGGGGTGGTGATCTCCTGCAGAAACATGGCTGGAGTTGATTACCTCTTAAGCTGCTCATACACATATTGCCAAGAACGGTCAGCAGTTCCCATCACCATGAGCCCCATTGTAGGAACAGAAGAAGCCTCCAGAAACCCTCTGGAGTGAGGGATGGGACAGAAACAAAATAGTCGTCTCCTCTTGCCATTCTGTTTTTGCATAGCAAAGCTTTAATATGTGTTTTTTAGTGGAAGGCTGTGGGCAAAACCACAATGGAATTATTGTCAACCCAGCCTAATTCTGCTTATCCTGTAATGGGTGGTGAGATCATAGTGTGGCTTGTGTTCACTCAACAGCTGTTCAACATTAGGGGTTAGTCAGAAATGCTACAGTCTGGGTACTTGTACTGGGATGTGAGCTCCTATAGAAGAGTCCCATGAGTCAGGAAGTCTATGTGAACTGGGAGATCCATCTTTGCAAATAAGGCCTCTTTTATTCAGAGGCATAAAAGCAGATTTACAATATTTAAATTTGACAAATATAACTCAAGACAATCTTAAACAGCAATAATCAATGTTTTAAAAAAAGAAGTACTGAATACCTACATTCCTGAGGTAACATACAGAATTACTTTTAAAGTAATGAGGTACAAAGAGCTGCCTATTATTCTCGCAATTCCCAATTAAGTACAGTACAGTGACAAAATGCAGCTAAAAAAAAAAAGTCAGAGTCTGACGGGTGTTCTGCTTCCTTCCTCTAAGTTTTGAGGAGACAAACAACTGAGGTGGTTTGTTCAGCACCTTTTCTGAGGGCAGGGGCCTGTTGGTTCTTCAGTTCTGCTGCTGTAGATCAGGCACAGCTCCACTGGCATAACACCAGTGGCTCAGTGCCTAGAGCAGGGGTTTTCATGGCACCAGTCATTTCAACCAGGTCAGTGCTGACTTTCTCTCTCACATTTATTGTGATGGGTCAGAAGTTCCAGTGCTGAAGCAAGCAGCATGTGAGGGGCAAAAATTTTCCCCAGCCATGGCTTGTTAAAATGCCACTGGCACATGGTATTTCTCTCTGTCATCCTTCCTGATGTAACCAGGCAGGGTAAGGCTGAGCCTGAGACTGGAAGGCAGGCTTGGCACAGTAACACATTCATGATATTTATAACTACTTTGTCATCTTACAAAAGAAGGCCATTTCCCCTCAAAAGCAACTTTGATGTTTTATCTTTGACAAGTCACATACTTAGCCTGGGATCCTGCCATGCTGAGGTCTGAAGGGTGTCTTGCATTACAGGACCCAGGCATCATGGGCTGAATAGGCTGGCTGAGTAACAGTCTGATGCATGGGAAAAAAGAAAGAATGACATTGCTAGAACAGAAGTACCACACATTTTGCAAACAGAAACAGGACATTTTCACAGGCATGGCACTAGGCTGAGTGTTAGGAGGTCTGACCTCAGCTTCTAGCTGTGGCAGGCACATCCTGGGCCCTTGGAGGAGAGGGCTGAGGCTTGCCCTCTGGGGTGATGTGGGTGCTTGGCACACGACTGAGAAATCATGTTTTTTTATTATTATCTGCCAAGTATCTGGCTGCTTGAGTAATATTTTACAACTTCGGTTAAATTCACCTTGTGGTCTTTAAAGCCAGTAGCAAGATTTCCATTTTTCATAATGCTAAGGGATCAGACACCTATGCTCAGGGGGTTTTAATTCACCACTGCATTACTCCAGCTACAAGATCTGATGTGCGATTTTACTGCTATTTTCACTCAGCAAAACTAAAACATCAACTATTTCTAAATTTATTATCTGATTAGTACAGTAATACAACCCACATTTATAATTTCCCCACGAGCGTGGGGTTTCAGGGCAGCGACATTACTTTTGCTCCCGCTGGTGGGGATGGCTTTGTCTTTGCGCCTTCAGGGTATCGGAGCGCCGCTGTTTTGGTTCAGTGCCTAGCTGGGTACCAGGGGGACCCTCCCCCGCCCGCGCAGGGGGTCCCGAGGCGGCGGGGGCAGGTCGGACACACACACGGCCGGGCCGTACCTGAGCTGCTGGTCGTGGTTGCAGCCGGGGGCGGGCGCGCCGGGGGTGCCGCCAGGGGGCGCGGCGGGGCCGCCGCCGGCGGGGGCGGGGGCGAAAGGGGCGCCCCGCGACACAACCCGGCACTGAA